CTATAAGTAATAAATTAATATTGAAATCTTTATAAAATTTGAATCTTTTTTCAATAAAATATATTTAATCAAATTTATAAAAAAATAATATTTTATTTTTCATGAAAAACTTTGTATATATTTATAGATATCTTGATAAATATATATTTAGACTTTATAGAAATAGATATACTAATATATTTTTAGAAGAGAAATATATTCACTTAAGAAATAAAAATAAAATAATCTAATAAATTCTTTTGGTATTTAAAAAAATTGCAAATTATATTTAATTTAATTTTCTTAATTAAATATAATTATTAATATTATTTTTATATTAATTTTATCTAATTAATTAAATACTATATTTAATTATTAAATTTAACTTTATATAAATTTTAACTTGCTTTAAAATAATAATAAAATTATTATTTTATATACATATAATTTTTTTAATAATTATATAAAATTTATTTAATATAAAATTTAATATAAAATTATAATATATATACTAATTATAAATATTTTATTATATAATAAACAGAATTATATATAAATAATATTATTTAATTTATTTGATTATAGTAAATGAAATAATAATATTTTTATATAATATTAAATATTAAATATCAAGATATCTTTATTTTATTATAATATTTTTTTTATTATAATATTTGAATTTATCTTATAATTTTATAATTATTATAATAATAAAATTAATAATATTATTTAGTATAAATAATTTAAATATAATTTTTTTAAATTTCAATATTTTATTATTTAACTTATAATTTTTTTAAAATTTAATATTTAAATATAAAGTTTATTATTATATTATTTAAATTTTAATATAAATTTAATTTCTAAATTTTAATATTAAATAATAAATTTATATATTATTTTTATTATTAAATTTTTAAAATACTATACTTAATATTAAAAAATTCAATAAAAAATTTAAATATATAGTACAAAAAGATATATATCTTAGATAAATATTAATAAATTATTTTTTCAAACTAAAATTTTAATTTTGTCTTATTTAATTAAGTTATTAGATATTAAAATTTATTTAATATAAAAATTTTTATTATATATCTTTTATAAAAAAAAATTTTACTAATAAAAATTTTTTTCAATTATTATTTCTTAAATTTATTATATAAATATTAATATAAAAATTATATAGTAAATAGTTTAATTATTTAATTTTAAATCTTAATATCTTTATAACTACTGATTTAATTTTTATAAAATTTAAAATATATATTTATCAAATCTAGAGCAATCTACTTATATAATTTGAAGTTTTAATATTGTAAATTAATAATAATAATTTAAAATATCTTTTTTTTAAAAAAATAATTTTATTTTAGTTTTTTTTTTTTTAGTAAAGTAATACTTTATTTATTATAAAATAACAGAAAAGAAAATTAAATTACTATTAATAATATTTATATTATTATAAATATTGTAATATTATAATATTAATAAATATCAATAAAAAAAATCTTTTAATAATTAACTTCATTTTAACTCTTATTTATAAGCTAAGTTTTTAATAGATTTTAATATAAATACATAAGTTTAGAGTTTTAATTATCAAGATAAAACTGTGTATATACAATAAGTTAATTATACATATGTATTAAATTATTTATTTTTATAACTATCATAATTGACTATTTCTATATATTAATGATTAAAGTTACATTTTGTATTTTTGTCTATGATTTAGTATTTTTTGGTTACTAAAAAAAACTTAAATCTTATTGTTTTTTTAAAAAAGGAGTGTGTGTAATGTTGTTTAATATTAGAAAGACAGACAGGCACGACAATCCCTTCTTTGTTCTAAGAGGTCAATCGTGTCGTGCGTATCATGTGTTGAGATCAATGATTAGAATCTGTTGTTGTGTTTGTAAGTCAGTCGAACAACGTCATGGACTACTCAAGAACCCCTTAGATGTTAGACAAATTTATCCTACTATTTTTTATTACTGCCACGATCATTACCACGATATCATTATCGACTTTTGGCGTTTCTTTTTCTCGCCGCGGTCTCCCTGTACATAGCACCTAAAAATTCAACATCACATATATTGAAGACTGACAAGACCACTTTTTTTATAATAATATCGAAACAACAAGATTGTAAATAAAGAAAGCAACATGGTAACCGACAATCCCGAAGAGAGTTTGCTGGAGTTTTCGAAGAAATTTTTAGATGCTGCTTTCGGGTCTGAGAATAGTTCTCCAGAGCTAGGCTTCTCACATATTTTATCCTCTATTAATAGTACCAATATTAGCAGCAACACTAATACTAATACGAATAATAATATTAATATTAATATCAACAAAAATCACCACCATATTAATCATAACAACAATAACAACAACAACAACAATAATAATAATAAATATAATAATAATAATATTATTAATAATAATAATAATAATAATAGTAGTAGTAGTAACAGTAGTAGCAGTAGTAATAAGGACATTAGCATGCCTAAAGTTACGTCTGAGTTACTTTCACCTGCTCCGGTGCCAACTTTAACTAAATCGAATTTAGACACAGAGACAATTGTTAATAATAATAGCCCTTTAGTAATAGGGCAACAACGACTACAGCATGAATTAATAAGGGAAGAAATAATTACCCAAAAAAATGCATATTTAGAAGATAAAAGAACCTCTACAGACTCTGTCACCTCGAATCAAACCACCGACACTACCTCCTCGCAAGAATCGGCAAATGATGTATACGACGACGCCCCCGAAACTATGGAAACACAAACTTCAGAACTAACAAGTACAACACCCGAAGCTCCTGTAGAAATACGTGTTGCATCACCAGGAGTTGTTGAAATGACACTGAAACGAAGATCTTTTATAGGTTCAGATGAAGACGACTTGCTTGATCCCGGGATTCACGCGCAAAATGATGCAGCAGAAGAACTGCACATTGAGACGAATGATCCTTCGCATTTATTTTGGGTACCGGCTCACTTGCACCCGGAAATTGCGCCAAATGAATTTAGAAAATGGTTGCAAAATCATGCTAAAGATGGGTTTAATGCGGGTCCAGGTTCTTTACGGAGGCGAAAGTCTGCTCTTTCGCATCAGTATATACCACCGGAAAATGGAGATGTGGAAGTTGAAGAGACATCAAGAGTAATTGCTAAGGCTGCAAAAGGAAACGAAGAAAACGAGAAGCCAATTGATGAGTTTGATTGGGAATCGTATGGTGCTTCTGATGGTAGCATTAGTCCAACGGCCGAGTCGAGCAAATTAAATATTCTGAGACGAAGTCTCAGTTTGAATTTACCACCTTTTATGGGTAAGTTGTCCATTTCGATATATATATATATCTATGGTGATATGCTATCATCTTATATTACATAAAATGATATATAAAATTACATATATGCTATTAATTCTACACACACGTTCGCAAACTAGAAACATCAATATTTGATCAATTCTCATCGCCCAAGGTCGATTCTGATGTGCTGGTTCCGAGAATGGCACCTGCATTAAAACGTGCAGCACGAACAAAAATCCGAAGAAATTCTGTTGCCGGAGAACGTGGTAATCACAGATTTTCTGCACACAGGCGCACGAAGTCAACTCACATAGCTGGAAAACCAAAACAGACAATTCCTGGTGCAACAGCCTCATCTTTACCGCATAAGTTATCACAATCAAATAATGATGTGAAATTTAAAATTGTAATTAATAATGGTGAAGGAGCATCAGTTGAGAATGAAGAAAAAGACATTGAACTTACACGTAGTTCAGTAAAACGAGATTCTGATCTTGTTCGAATCACGTTAAAAGACGATGGTAATAAATACAATAACAATAATGAAACTGTTAAAACTGAGCCTCGTAGAACAAGTTCACTATCTCCTGGTGCAATTGAAGTCAACGATACTTTACAAGATGGACGAATACCGATCACAGAACAAGCGAAGACCTCACTAAGCATGGGAATATTATCAAAAAAAATAATATCCGGGAAAATATCACCTACATTACCCAATGAAACCACAACTGCAACTAACACGCATCTAATTAAAAGATCACCAAGTTGGACTGCATGGCTTCCATGGACAGGAGGAAACGGAGGAAATTCTGAAGAGAAAGAAACAAGAACAAAGAAATCATCAAAGTTAAAGGAAAAAATTGATCGAGATGCTAAAATAGAAAAAGAAGTTAAATTCGTCGATAATAAACAAATTAAAGAAGTCGAGAATAATTCTTTGGACCCTCAAGAAATAAAGAATGAAGATGATGACGATGAAAATTTAGTAGCAGAACTTGAAAGCAATACTAGTAATGAAACTATAATCAAAGAAAAATCAAAGATATCTTTGTCCTCGCTATTTTCATGGAATAGTACTAGTAAAACTAAAATCCCTGAAGATGCCGTTCCTTCAGGTACGACAGCGACTTCCATTTCCGCTGCTGTTACTGCCGCGTCCACAGTACAAGTCGTAAACAAAAAACCAAAATACACAAATTATAATCGATTACCAATTCATATGGAAAGAGCGATATATCGTTTATCGCACGTGAAACTCGCTAACCCACGACGTCCATTACATGAACAAGTTCTTATCTCGAATATGATGTTTTGGTATTTATCACTAATTAACAAGCAACAGGCAGAATATGGAGGGAATCATCCACAAGCAGATAAAGAAGCAAAGAAAGTTAAAAGCAAAGTAGGGAAAGAAAGAGGTGGTAAACGACAAAAGCGCAATAAACAGCAAGCTGGACAAGCCAGACGTGGATCAGAGATTGCATACAAAGCACCACAGTATGATATGCAACAGGCACAAATTTCCCAATATCTGTCGCCTCCCTCATCGCCTACTCAAGGTGATGGTGAACTATCAACATCTCTTATAAATGAAGACTCTGCAGATGAAAATAGTGATTGTGAAAGTGACGAGGAATTTCCGGCACACACTTATCATCATTATAATAATGGATATACGTCCGACGGCACGGATGGTGGACATCTTGAAGATAGTAATTATAAAATTAAGAAAAAAACATCTGTGGATCTTCCCGGTACAAGCATAATAATAAACGAGCAACGGGGAAATGTTGAGAATAATGGGAAAATAAATAGTAATGAAGAAAGCGCCAATGGATCGAAAAATATAAATGATAGTAACTATAAAAGACCACCTTCTCCAAATACACATCCAACTTCAAACGCTGGACGCCCCGTCTCACCCAATGGAAAACCAAAATCATTAAATGGGCGTTCAGTCTCACCATCATCTTCAAATTCGGCTTCCCGTCGCGCTACTAATCTACGTCCTATTAATTCAACAACGCGAGCAAAGTCACCTAGCGCTGGCCCGCTTTTTGTAGCCGGAGGTAATACGGGTGGTGTAAGTAAAGTTGCATCATCACAAAGTCATCATGATGATGATGATGATGACGATGACGATGAAGTGCCCCTAGGTCTTTATAAAAATATGGTTAAGTAGATTCATGATGAACTTTATGTGTATATTGTAGTCACTTTTCTATTTCATTGGAGAGATCAAGGAAACATTAAAGTGTCTCAACGTTAGTACGCAAAAAGATTTTGTATAACGAAAAGGAAACTGCGTAATTTAACTCAAAAGACAATTAGAAGCGCAACACATTTTTTTTGGAAATGGATTATTTAATCAATACTTTTGAACCACCATTTAAGCAATCATCGATTTGTAATTTTGCTGTTTGTTTTATTATCATCACCGTTTTAGATATCATAAAAATTTGTGTATTTTTTATTTTATTTTTGACACATGTTCTTTCTCTTCCTTGTTATATTTTTTTTTCATTACAACTATGATTGTTTTTTGTTACTTATTAATTATTTGCTACTTACATATATCTTTATATATCCGGCGTATCACACACAATTCATACATACCATCTCATCCACACATAAAAGTTCATACATCATATATCACATATATATACATTACATCGTGATGCGGAATACCAAATAATTCTGGACAGAATTAATGACTTTATACTAAAGTCATCCCTCTATATGCGAACACGATTAGTCATAAGAACCTTTGATTTCAAAAGTTTGACTTAGTTCTAGAGGTATGACTTATTACTATTATTAACAATACACATGCTCGCATATGCAAGGCGATCAAAAGATTCTTTTTTGGATATTATTATTGTTATGCAAAGAATGATGTAATTTACGAAATGGATAAATTTAGAAGATAACGTAATAAAGTAATGTCATTGGCGTAAATTTTTGATCAACCGGCAAAAAAAAATTTCAAATTTCCTAATTCGGGTTCTTTTCAATTAGAGTCTAGCCCGATTTGGCGATTCGATAAAAAAAACTTGTGTACAAGACTGTGTCATAGCGTCAATTTAAAATATGTATAAGCAAGATATATAATATTATATAATTAATTCAAAATAATATTAATATATTATGCTTTCATTAAATCTTTGAATCTCAATATTGTTATCATTCTTAGTTGGATGACTATACTTATTTGAGAAGATAAAATACTAGATAGTTTAGAAAAGTTAACTTTATAAAAAATTGAAACTTTATAAAAATTGATAAAATAGTAACAAGTTTTATAAATCTTTATTTTTTATAATCTTTTAAATCAAGTTTATAAATTATATAATAAATAAATTATAATATTTTTACTAGTTAAATAAGTAATTAAAATCTCAAAGTATAAAAAATAATAAATATAAGAAAATAACTTTTATTAATCAAATATGGGTTGGTACAAAAAGATTTGTATCTCAGATAAATATTAATAAATTATTTTTTCAAAATAAAATTTTAATTATGTCTTATTTAATTAAGTTATTAGGTATTAGAATTTATTTAAATATAAAAATTTTTATTATATATCTTTTATAAAAA